TTTTTGCTTCAAATTGATTCAAATATTTGAATAGAATCGTGAATTTATGAATTCTTCATTTTTGTGTAGTTGTCGATTGTGTAATCGACTCCGAAAATTTCTGCTTGATATTCAACACAATATATAAATAGAATCTTCACGCTGTGAATTATTCATTTGTCGTGTGTTGATCAATCATGTAATCAACTCCAACTCTCTCCATTGAATTGAGAAAAGTTTCTAAATGTCTTGGGATGTGTTTTTTCTTTAGTTTGTGATCTTTGCTCATAGCTGGAAATTCTTTCATTTTTTGCTTGAAGCGAAAAGAATATTTGAACGGACTATTAAATCAACCAGTTATGTGTTGTAAATATAGCATTTTGACGATAAACCGTCGAGAGAATATCCTGACATTTTATTCCATCATTCGTACATTCTTCTTCGTTTTCATCATTTTCATCATTTTATAGTCTTCATTAAATTCAATACTGGTTTTTCTTTGTGGGGTATATAGCACAAATACAAATCCACACCAACAATCAAACATGGCTATCAATTATTACCAACATCTATAAACACTATCAACTAGTTAGCGTCCTTATATTATATTCTCAATTTGTTTGCTTCCTCCTCTCATATTTTCGCCTGTTTTTTCTCATTATTATTCTGTATTTTTCTCAATTTTCAATTTCACTTAAGTGTACACACTGAAAACGTTCACTATTTAGCTTCTTGAGAACAGCATCAAAGATCTATAGTAATCATGAATAATGCATCATTGTCTTTTGCTTGTTGTGGCTATTGATGTCAGTTGATTATGAATTCCATAGTACACCACCATCTATGGCACGGAACCTTCTTGATGGTTGTATTTGTCATAAGCAAACACGTCTATTATTCTCTCTGCTTTCTTTACCTGTTCGCATTGAGAAATACTAAAATTCCGACAGTTAGCGATAAACAGAAAAGATAAATCAATACTTTTATTGGACATTGTGTATTACGATCGGTTCGTATTCGTATATAAAGAAGTTAGAATAATACAGATGACGTTCACTGGCCACAGATTAGTAGTTACTAACAATGAAGCAAGTGTGTGTTTTTGAATAATTTATCCAGGCAAAAGTAGTTAGAGAATTCAGATGTTTTCATTGAATGTGACCGACTCTAATCTACTCTTCTATTCGACATAAAAGCACGAATTTATCAATTATTTGATCGATCTTATTATTCAAAACAGCAATAATTTCTTTCCATTTTTTGAACCAGTCCATAGTTGGCATCTGTAAAACAAGAAACATGTCTTACAACATGAAAGATACGGTTGATCACATTGTGCTTGATAATGGCTAGAATAAGGATGGGGTGTAGATATGGGGTGTGAGAGTAAGGATGTGAGTTTGGATTGTGGGTGTGAGTGCAGATATGAGGTATGGATGGGTGTGGATGAATAGCAGCTTCGTAACCATAGCCACATCTAGAGTGACGCCCAGATGTTAGCTTCATATGTATAGAACGAAAGGGACAAGCAGTCCCACTGATGTTATGTGATAGAACGATGAAAAAGATGACCTTCGTGGGAATTGAACTCAAACCTCTTGCTATCCGGACAGTTGTCCTAAGCCAATTAGACAAGAAGGCGCATCTTAATCATCGTTTAGCATTAGTGTGATCCCTCACTATTGCAACGCGTTGCGCATATGAATCCAATACGAATTGCGCTGAAAAACGTTTTCATTTGTCAGTGTAATCTTTTGATGCAATTATAACATTTTAGTCCTATTGAGACTGTGAGAATAAGCTTTTACTACGAGTGTAAAAACATTTACTCATCGATACTTATGCCTAAATTAGTATGATGTCATTCTATTTTTAGATGGTGTTCACATTTATGTTGATGGAATAATCGAGCTAAACGATTCTAGAGAAGAATGTGTGAAGGACAGAGATATTAGTTAATTTCACGGTCACGAGAGGAAAGAGAAACAATTCTGTGTAGGAATTCTCGAAATCGGGACATGATGGCGGTGTACACAAATAGTGCAGTGTAGTTCCTTAACATTTTATATGATTTCATGCGACGAATAGATAACTGCTATTTCATGCACGAAATTTTGTTTGCCAGATTCAAGGTCTAGTGAGAGTGATTGCCTGATTAATCGATAAATCTGTTTGCTCATTGCATTATAGCTGTGATTAGAGTGAATGACACAACTCATATAGAAGCACCCATTTTTTTTAAATGAAATATTGTGATGATTGACTGTTCTTTTCTCTGACTGTGGTCAGAATGCCAAGAGCAGGTAAGCAAACAACTCATATAAACAAAATCAACAGAAGCATGGGCTCATTTTTTTTCCCTATTGCACGTAGCATAAAACTTCAAATCTTATCACGGTTATGCAAATAACAGTTCGTCCAGTTCGAAAATCGCTTGATTAAACAGTATTGCTATACTAGTCCTTGCAAAGATTGCTAAATCGAACATAATAGATACTGATCATTACAGAGCAAGAGCAAGGAGAAAGAGTAGAAGGTGATGAAAAAGTGTGGTTGGGTATTAGTGTAGATTGTCTCTTCACTGATACCCACACCCTAACTATGTTGTAATGCTCCATGCTCGGTTCTGTAGTTCTTTTGCCTGTGATATTCACAAAAAGTTTCTCTCTGAATTTCTAATAGTCGATAGAAAATTTTATAACGATCCTCTATAAAGAAATATTTAGATTCTTCGAATGATTATTACCCGTTCTGGTTGAAAGGGTTATACGGTGCTTAAAAACCACAGAAAGTTTGTCCAGACAAGCCAATCTAAAATGAGATTTTCTATTTTAGAGTTTTTCACTTTTTTCTAGTTTTTAACAGTTTTTTGGATTGGAATACAATTTTTGAAATTGAAAATATTATTTCAAAAGTCATGCTGTAAAACAAGTCGATAGAGGAAGAAACAAATAATTCATGCAGAAAACTTAAGATTCAATTTATTGTACAATTTAGATCATTAGTTCTCCTTTCTTGCTCGGCTAATAATTCGATTGAAATATGTCTTTATTATTTTATTTTCGCGATGGAAATCAAATAATACACATAAAAAACTAACACAGATCGGGTTCATGTTTGGCGGGACGTTGAACTGCCTTACTTTGTATGAAAATTTCTACAATAACTAATAAAAAAAAAGAACAATCAATTTGAAGAAACAATAAAAGTTGAAATCGTAACTTCTGAGTTTTCACATGGCATCTATCGAAGTAAACGTAGTGACGTTCAAATGAGCTGATCAGAAGACAGATTTTGAGTAGTTATATATTTACACCTGCGTTTACACCTCCTAAGACTTTGTTTGTTTGAGAGAATTAAAGCGGTTAAGTTTAATCAGATTATTCTATTCTAACATGTACCTCTATTAATAGCGAATAATAGCAACACTGTTGCACCGCTTTCTATTCGCTAGAAAAGAAACATTAAGTGATGATGACCTCTGCTCGTATGGACAATTTATGGTAATTCATGGGGATTGTTACATTTATTTGATTCGTTCATGAATTATGTGTGAAAGATTCAGTACCATTTGGGTATATGCGTGGTTAGGCTATTCTCGTAAGAAAAAGAACAATAGTTATGCTTAATTGTGGTTTTACAAGAAAGAAAAAAAAGAAATATCAACCAAAATTTTCTCATACAAATCAACATGCCGTATGGAACAGAACAAAAAAAATAATATTCTATTCTTCTCTTTCCGTTCTATCACTATAAAGAAAAAGTAAATTGCATATCGTCTTCGTTCGTCAATGCACGGCAATAAGATACGGAAAGAAAGCAAGCGCAAATTATTTGTCATGTGTGGTCTAAAAGTACAATAAAAGAAAAGATTGTGAAGTAGTTTTACTGAAACAATGAATACTCAAGATAACGTCGAATTGGAAATGGAAGAAACTTTCATAAAAAAAATAAAAACCTCGGCTTCTGTTCAAAGAAACAATATTTGCATATGTTGTCTGGGTATCATCAATCTTGATAACACGTCAAGTCAACAGTATCGTCGTCCTATATTCATCATCACCATGTGTATTTTACATTTTTTAATTCATCTCTCGACATACATCAGCGTCAGTCAAAGTGGTCAAAGCTTTCATTTTACTTTAATAGATCTTTTTCGAGTTTTTCTACCATGTATGCGACCAACATCTGATAATATTCGTATGCGCACCATCAATTGTAATTTAACGATGAGAAATGAAACATGTTATTATGACGGTATACTCAAAAAGATGTGTCTTTCTTTCATGTATCCACATCAATTGTGGCGCATGGTTACCGGTAATCTAGTCCATATGGATTGGATTCATCTACTTGCTAATTTATCACAGCAACTCTTGTATGGCATTCCACTGGAACGTAAATATGGCTCGATTCTTGTTATTATTATTTACTGGTTGTCAGAGTTGGGTTCTAGTTTAAGTTTTATTGTAAAAAATAGAACAGGATGTAAGTAACCATTGACAATAATTATTATATTTTAGAACACTATCTCAAAAAAATGTAATAAATGTACACTTTTGAATTTCGGAAAAAGACAGTGAAAGAGTGAGAGAGAATGAGTAAAACTCACTGTTTTTTTCGTTTCAAATGTCAATAAATTTTGATTATGACTGATTTTCAAAGAAATGATTAGTTTATCATCAGTAATTCTGTTTTTCATCTGTTAAATATTCTGAATAAGTTAATGACGCATACAGATGTAGTTATAAATAGATTAGTGTTTTTCCACTTAAG